TAAGTGCCCGCCTTGACAGGTGTGAGCATAGGTGGCTGGCAAACGGGTCAAGCCCTCGAGGGGAGTCCCACAGGTCCCCAGAAGGCCCTGGTGAAAGCAATGGCTGTTATGGGGTGCAGCCAGTGATAGCCAGCACCCAGTGACAGTGGGCAAATGAAATGTGGCTGTGTCCCCTGCCCTCTGTCCTAACAGCAATGGAATTCCATCCTCAACCACTCCCCCACATCCTAAATTAGCCAGGATATTGGATGCAGATGAGTCCAATTAGTCTAGGTGTTTTTAGCTACAAGCCCAGTTCCTGTTCCTGTCCATCCCAACCAGCACTAATCAACTCCTTAGCCCACAACACTCAGGTATTCATCAACTGAGAGGGGACAGTATTGTATTGTTGTGTAGCCACAAGCCCCTCTAAAAGGCCCATGAGACAGAGGCTTGCTCTGGTCAGATGCTTCCATTACTCTGGCATCTTGACTCTCGGCTGACCCAGGACAGGTAATCCCCTGAGCATGGTCCCTGTGTACTGCTTACATGGGACAATGGATATAATAATGTTGTTTCTGGTTTGTGTGCTGTCAGGAGTTCCAGGAGAGGTGAGGCCTAGCAGTGATGGAATGTGGGCAGAGAAGCCAGGGAAAGGTGAATGTCTGCAGCTTTGTGAGTGTGTCCAGTTTATTCGTAGCATGTCTCTTAGGATAACTTTTATTGTTGCAAAAGCTGGGAATAGGTCTTCAGCTTAATGGATGGACTTAAGGATAATGACCATTTGTTCCTCTTTACATTATGATTGGTTGGATTATAATTGGTTGGATTATGATTGGTTGAATTGCCGTATGGACTTGTGATTTGCTATTTCTATTTCTAGTATGTTCTACTACAGCCCAGGCTTGGAGTCACGCCGGCGCTTCACGTTGACGCCCGTTGAACTTTTTTTTTAAAGATTTATTTTATTTTTATTGGAAAGGCAGATATACAGAGAGGAGAGACAGAGAGGAAGATCTTCTGTCCAATGATTCACTCCCCAGGCGGCTGCAGCGGCTGGAGCTGAACCAATGCGAAGCCAGGAGCCTCTTCCAGGTCTCCCACGCGGGTGCAGGGTCCCAAAGCTTTGGGCCGTCCTCGACTGCTTTCCCGGGCCACAGGCAGGGAGCTGGATGGGAAGCGGGGCTGCCGGGATTAGAACTGGCGCCCATATGGGATCCCGGGCGTGCAAGGCGAGGACCTTAAGCACTGCGCCATCGCGCCGGGCCCGACGCTCATTGAACTTTGCAAACAGTGTATGATCCAGGAGCTGATCCTATGCTGTTCTAGATGACACAGCTGAAGTGCACAGGACTTCCGGGACTGCCCTCAAGTCTTTACAGCACATATTGGCGGGGCTGGAATTCAAACTTCAAACATGATTCATGGTCGGCCCATTTCACAATTTCCTTGACCTAGAATAGTGGGAGCGGATGGCTCGGCCCAGAGGATCATTTATCTGGGTTACAGCACGGTCTCCACTGACCCACACGCCTGCCTTCTTCTGCCCACAAGCAGAGCTGCCAAGGAGAGGGCTGGGCGATGATGCCCGGCGAGTTGCCGGGCACCAGCATTGTTTCTATCCACTAAGCTGGTGACGGCTGCTGAATGGCAGGGGAGTTGACGGCTCTGCTGCCTGCCAGGCACCTGGAGTGCAGCTCTTTCAGCAGAGAGCAGGCTAAGGCTTTACCCAGGAGCCGGAGCACGAGCTGGGCCTGACTGACACTCCTGGGAGGAGGGGTGGCACACACTGAGGGCCCCTCCCGAGGGAAAGCGAGCTCGTGGCCATCCGAACCGTGCATGCCTAATGCAGCCCTGGAGTGGCGTGCCTTTATTTTAATCACAGGGAAGCCTGCACATGATTGGAAAATAACTCCTTTCCTGCCAGTTTCCTTTAGACATCTAAGAAAAGCTAACGAGCTTACTTCTAAAACACATCCAATACACATCGGTGCAGTAGACCGGGCAGTGTTCCCTTGGCTTTCCCACTGTTTTCACCTGCTCAAGTGTTTGCAGGCCTAATCACCCATTTGTGAGCCCTGCGGGGGGGACCCTGGGCCAGGCCCTTAGCAGGATAACCTGGATCTAACCAGCTCACTCGAGCCAGCACAACCTACTCCCCTTAGTTTCAAATCCAAATAAGCAAATAAATCCCATCCTCTACAGGTGACAGAAGCAGACATCAGGAATCATTGAGGTCTCAGACTTCTAACAACCAGGATGTCAAGTTCTTAGTCACAAACATGGGGCTTTTGGTAATGATCCTTCCGGGCGGAAATTACAAAGTTTAATTCCTATGTAGTGACTTGGAGTGATGGCCATGACACCTGGTGGGTCAAAATGTTAATTAGCGCACACATACGCCATCCTTTCTTTCAAAAACGTAAGCCTGTATAAATACAGAAAATGCTATACCAAAGTTAACACCGATCTAGGGCTGGAGTGAATCTTCTCCACATTGCCAGCAGCATTCACGCCGGGGAATGAGCCCTCCTGGAGAAGCCCACAGCACAGAGCTGCCCATGGCCAAAGGGGAGCTGACCACCTTGGAGCCTGTCACGGCCACTCACTGCAGTTCTGCCCACACTCCCTGGGACCTGAAGCTGTTGGCAACACGCCCCCTGTAGCATTCCCGTCTGGGATGCAGACCCATGTCTTTCCAACTCAAGTGAGCAAGACGATGCTAGCAGCAGAGGGACAGGCTGCGGCCAGAACGAGGAGCTGGGTAATCAGGGGTACCTCACCCTGATTGTTTGTTTCTGTTGTTTTTAAAAATGCAAGAGTAACAGAGTGATCTCTGATTTGGGGGTTCACTCCCCACTTGACCGCGACAGCTGGGGCTGAGACCAGGCTGAAGCCAGGACCCCACCTGGGTCCCACACTTGGACTCCCTGTATTTCGATGGCCAGGTGTCCAAGCACTTAGGCCATCTTGTGCTGTCCTTCCAGGTGTGGTGGCAGGAAGCCGGATCAAAGGCAGAGCATCTGGGATTGAACCAATGAGAGCTGTGATGTGGGATGCTGGTGTTAGACACAGCTTAAGCCACAGCCCCCTAGTGCTGGCCTAGATCTAGCTTTTTTTTTTAAGATTTATTTTATCTTTGAGAGGCAAAGATACAGAGGAGACTTACACACACAGTGTCTTCCATCCGCTGGTTTACTCCCCAAATGTCTACAACAGCTGGAGCTGAGTGCATCCGTAGGAGCTTCCTTGGTCTCCCACATGGGTGCAGGGACCACAGGACCTGAGCCATCTTCTGTTTCCCAGGCACTAAGCAGGGAGCTGCTTTGGAAGTGGAACAGTCAGCACAGACCAGTGCCCACATGGAATGCTGATTCCACAGGCAGACTTAGCTTCGAACTCTGTGTTGGCTTTTAATTCAACCACATCCTTGCCAGTGTTTTAGAGAAGCCAGCCATGAGTTGCAAAGTGGTTGTGCTTCCTGCATTTCTAAACATCTATTGTTATCAACACAACATGTGATGTATTCTGTTCGATGTTGTCACTTGTATGATGTTCTACCTGGGTGTCTCCGACTCAGCTCACTGTGCGGGGACAGGGATGCTGGACCCAGGGACAGGGTAGCAAACTCTCACTTGGGAGGCAACAGCCACATCCCAGAAACTGGAGGTGTTAGACCACAACGTGGGGAGAGCCCGTCAGAGGAGACAGTCAGGGACCAAAAGCCTGGACCTGCTGTCTTTAAGGTAGATGGGAAGAGAGGACCAGGAGCACAGAGAGCCCAACACATCCGTGCAAGCACAGGTCCCTCTGCAAAAGGCTTCCTGGGCACAGTGTGTTCCGAGCCCCTGCAGCAAGCCAGAGCGCTGCACGAGACACCCCTTGGGGGACTAATGGGAAAGGGGGCTCTGACACCCCCGCAGGCTGCAGGGAGCCTGTCCCAGTGCCCCAGGGATCGGGACCAGGTCACCTCTGCCACACAGACTGTTGCAGTCTACTGTGGGCTGAGTGTCCCTCCCAAGTTCACGTGCAGTCTTGACAATGACCACCAAGACTTTATAATGGGATCTTGCAACTAGAGCCAAGGTCAGGCTGTACCAGACAGAGTGCCTACCCCGGAGAGCTGGTCTTGCTAAACATGGCGGGGTGGGGGCTGGAGAAGCATCTGGAGTAACCACTGATCCTGCTCTCTTGGAAGCACCCAGCTCTGCTGGCTCCCTGTTCGTGGGCCTGCGGTCTCAGGCACGAGCCATGGGGCTGCCCTGACCCTGTGGGAAGCCACCCCTTCCGAGCTGGCGGGGTCCCCTCCTAGGGCGCTGTCTACCCAAGCACAGGTCTGAGCCCGGGGTGCTGCTGCCCCCTTGGCCTTCAATTCCACTCAAGAAGCCCAAGATTCCCACTTGTGAAACCGCAGGACGGATCCCCGTCCCGTTCACCTCTGGCAGTTCTGTTCCTTCCAGTACTCACAGAGCTCCGTCCCACCCACCCAGAGCAGCCCCCTAGTTCCTATTCCCCAAGCTGCTGGAGCTTGGCTCCGTCTCAGGAGACTGAGGACAGAGGGGGGAGCCTGCCAGCACCCCAGCATGGTGGGGAGGCAGCTCCTGCAGTGCCCCCTCCAGGGATGCCTACTCTCAAGGCTGTGCGTTACTTCCCTGTTCAAGTTCATTTTCAGATCATCTCTTGCAGGAGAAAAAAAACACCTCAGGTGTTTTAGATTGAACCACAGGAAATTGCTGTGATTTGACCGTGACTTTGGCGACCCAAACGGCCATTTTGTGGGAGTCAACATACAATCACAGCTCTGTGTAAAATTCTCAAAAATGTTTCCACTTACATTTCAATTTAAATGAGACTTCAGGCTCTACAAATAAAATCCTCCAGTATCTGAATCCCTCCTCGAGCTGGGGGGTCTTGCGTGTGCTGTATGCAAACTGGATTCCACGCTTTCCAATGTCAGGGCAAACATGCTTTACAGCTTCATCTCGCTAAGCTCGAAACAATCCAAAAAACACTCCATTTGATTGCATATATTTACATTTTTATTAGAATTCTTCAGAACTGTCAACAATTGGACAAGACATCAGGAGAAAAAGAACACACGGATATCTGTTCAGCTCGCACCGCCGACGTATTTACACATAAAGTTACTGTAGATATAAAAAATATTTTCAAGGACTCCTGGGCTTGGGAATATTCAAAAGACATTATTGCTACATTTCAATATTTACAGAAAAAAGCCATAAAATAATTTCCAACATTAAAGCCACTGCAAAGAAACATCTGATGTAAAAAAAAAATTATAAAAATATAAACTTTCAAGACAAAACTCTCAGCGAGGTGTCCCTAGAGTACCTGGACAGCTACAGTGTCAGCGGCCTGCCTTGCTCACCATGGCCACCGGGGACGCAGACAGCAGTCACCTCCCATGGGACAGCACGCCCCCAGAACCGGCTGGCCTTGGATGGCGGCGACGGCAGTGGGACCTCGAGATCAGCAGCCACAGTTCTCCGGATGGGAGGCTGAGGGATGGGGGTGGGGGAGGGGAACTGTGACAGCAACATCCCTAAACTAAAGCTTGCTGTGTAGACACCTGGCACTAAGGCTGGGCAGGGGGAAGAACCAAGCAGGAAACCGTGAGAATACAACTGAGGCCTCCAGGGGCCTCTGGAATCCGTTTCGGGGGGCTCTGGCAGTAGGGTGGGGGTGGGGATGGCCTGTGGAGTGTGCCTCCCCCAGGAGCTGGGCGAGCTGCTCCCATGGGCCCACCAAGAGCGGCAGCAGCGGGACCAACCCCCCACGTGACTCAGGGCAAGCCCACGCACACGGCCCCATGCACACGCACACACATATATACAAATACTGGCCTGACGTCCAGGACCTTCCTGCCAAGGAACCATGCCTGACTTGTGCTTCCTGCCCTGTCCGAAGGCCACACGGAGGTGGCACTGCTTGCTCACAGCGGTGGGAGGCCATGGCCAACGGCTTCTGCCAGCAACATCAAATCTAGCCAGCAGCAGCCGTGGGCTCGCTCTGGACAAAGCGAACAGCTCACTGGCAGAAACGGGGGAGACTTCTTAGTAACTATGCTTGCAGGGTACATTTTTTCTCTCTTAAAGCAAAAGCTATGAACTGTTTCCTTGAAACGCACGAGGTTCTTGATCCATTCCTACATGGAAAGACACAACAGAACAGAACCCAAATCCACAGGTGGCCTTGCACGCGAAGGCTGCTTCTAGAATCGGAAGCTCTCCCAGGTGCACAGGCTGCAGAAGGGCTGCAGGAAAGTGACCACTGGGACCTACTCCACTAACTCAAACAGAACTGGGGAAGTCTTGGAAAAGGACTGCTGGGGCACTGAGCCAGTGCCACGGTGCTGGGCTCCTTCTGCGCCCGGGAATAATATAATATGTACAGCTCGAACCTATGCAAGGGGATGGAGGCCGGGGCGGGGGGATGTGGCAGAGTGACCTCATCGGCCACTAAAGTGTGCTCCTGGAGACAGGGTTCAGGGACGGGCATGGGGGCACAGTCCTTCGAGGCCGCTCAAGCATCTTCGTGCACCAGCAGGGGCTGCGTGGAGGACGCGCTGCTCCCCACAGAGTTGACACGCACAGCATGCTCCAGTGCGGCGTGCGCTGGCTTGGGGCTGCAGTTGGCTATGTTGGAGTACACCTGTGTGGAGCAAGCCCACAGTGGTGTCAGACGCGGCAGCAGAGGGGGCACCTCCCGGGCATGGGGGGGGCACATCCCAGGGACCCGGGAAAAGCAAACAGCACCTTTGCCTGACCCCTGGTTTTCCCAGGCTCAGGACAAGCCAGCCACACCCGGGCCAGCCCAGCAAGGAAGAAAAAGCCGCAAGCGCAAAAGCCCTGAGCCTGGAATAGATCCTCTCCCTCCACCAGGATCACGAAAAGAAATGACAGATTTCCAGTCTTGCGCCCCCCCAGATCTCAAGACAGGATACCAAGTTGGACAGCCCCTCTACCTTCCCCTCCCTCCTGCCTGAACAGAAGGCCCACCCCCTGCAGGCCCGAGCTATGTCCTCCACAGGATGAGCGGCTCCTGCACCTGCCCCCTGCTCACTGCACACACCTCCTGGGCTCGGGGTGGGCATGTTCCCAGGGCTCTCCCTGCCCCACCCCCTCCGCCACCCCAGAAAGCCCAACCAATGAGAGGAGGGGCCAGGGTCAGGCCTCCCTACAGTCGCCTAAGGGGACCCTCCCGCCCCAGTCCCACGCCACCTGCACCGGCCACTCACATGATGGGTACTGTCGGAAATCTGCGTCTCCATGAGCTGGACGATCTGCTTGAAGGTCGGCCGCTTCAGGGGGTCGGCGTCCCAGCAGGTCTTCATGATGTCATACCTGCCGGGATGGGGCGGAGCCTTCACCACCACATGTGGCGGCATGCTCAGGGCCACGTGACCAGACGCAGGGCAAAGGAGACTCCCTGTCCTTTACGGCCAGGGAAGGTGGGGCACAGTGCCAGGACAGGGGCATGGCTTTCCGGGGGGCGCTTACATCTCAGCAGGGGCGTGTTCGGGGCTCAGCATACGGAAGCCTTCTTTAATCATCTTGTAGAACTTGGAGTCCACAGGCATTCCCGGGTAGGGGCTGCTGCCTGAGGCACAGAGGGCAGGTAGCTGGCGTCAGTCAGGGGGACTCAGGCTCCCAGCACCCACCGGGCCCACCCCACCCTGGGCGAGGGCCATCACCTAAGGAGAACAGCTCCCACAGGAAGATGCCGTAGGACCACACGTCGCTTTCAAATGTGTACACGCAGTTGAAGATGCTTTCTGGGGCCATCCACTTCACGGGCAGCCGGGCCTACAGTGGAGGGACAACACGCAGAGGCCCCTTTAACTACCGGGCTCCCAATCACTACACAGACACTCCGTCTCCCTCCACATAGGCTTCTGGAAGCATCTTCTCCAAGCCCTTTCACCTACATGATCGCCAACCGTGCACCCCCAGGGGATGCTGAGTCCACGTAGCTTGAGAAGGGAGAGCGCAGAAGGTGGGGCAGCCAGCTGTGAGTCCGGCTCCCTGGCCAAGCAGCCCCTTCTCTCTCTGCGGTAACAGAAACATGGCCTCCACAGCAGCCACATGACACAGCTGAGTTGTGGGGCTTGGGAGAGGCGTGGGAGAGGCGTGGGAGCCAGTCGGTGCCCCCTGCCTGCCTCCTGGAGGGTGATGACTGGTGACCAGCCAGCCATCATTCGGGAACCCAGGAGAGGTAGAAGGAACTCGCCCTGACTCTCCCTGGGGAAGCGCTAACTCAGGCCATGATTCCAGGCTGTCTTTGATTTTATTCTGGGTTTTCTGTCTCACACAAAGCGCTCACTCACTTAATCCATGCAATAAGTCCACCTATGTGCGAATGGTCAAGCCCATTGGAGGGCCCGGCGTGACAGCCTGGGGCCTAAATCCTCACCTTGCATCCTCTGGTGGATGCTGGTTCATGTCTCAGCTGTCCCCCTCACCTTCCAGCTCCCTGCTTGTGGCCTGCGAAGGCAGTGAAGGATGGCCCAAGGCCCTGGGATCCTGTACCCACGTGGGAGACCCAGAGAAGATGCCTGGCACCTGGCATCCGGCTGCTGGCTCCAGACTGGCTCAGCTCTGTCCATTGCAGCCACTTGGAGAGTGGACCAGCAGATGGAGGATCTTTCTGTCTCTCCTTCTCTATTATCTGCCTTTCTAATGAAAAATAAAATCTTCAAGAGAAAAGAGAAAGAAATGCTTGGACTTTCATGAGTCGTTTTACAGGATAAATGGAGCGAGCAGCTAGCTCCCCACTGCACACACAGCCACCCAAAACAGCTGCCCACTCAGCAGAGGGGCTTCCCTCCAGGCGCCTCAGTGAAGGCAAGCCTCGGCTGCCACCACCACTCTTACACAACCTGCCAGCTGCTCGGTGTTAAGCTGCCAGAGAGCTCCTCTAATTCTCGTAACCCATGTAACCGGGAGGCGGTGGTTTCTCACTTGAAACACGTTTTAGTCATTGCAGAAGCACGCCTTTGTGCGTGCTGGAGAGCCACAGCAGCGTGCCGCAGCAGCGTGCCACAGCTTGAGCTCCGGCTTGAGGCTCATGCACAGCCCGGGAGGCGGCAGGGGATGGCAAGGACGCGGGTCTCTGCCAGGCGGAGCATCCAGCTGCCGGCTCTGGCTGGACCTCACCATACACAGCAGACGGGAGACCTCTGCCTGGATCTTGTGCTATAGCTGAGGCGGCTGCTAGCCTGAGATCAATAAGGTATCTTGGATTCAGAGGCCTTGGAACTTGAATCAGAGGGGGACAATGCATCCGTTTTCCCGAAGTGCAGTCTGGCACAAACTTGAACTACAAATGAAGGCATAAACTGGAACACCAGAACCTGTGGCTCTGCCGCCAATAAACATTTCTCCATATCCCTACTCAGGCGAAAGCAGCTATCGCCCAACTGTACAACAGTACAGGTTTTGTTTCTTCATTTTAAACGAAAAGGAATGCTTTGTATTTGAGGGAAAGAGAGCTGGCCTGCCAGCCCACTCCCTAAACGCCTGCACAGCTGGGGCTGGGCGCCCAACCCAGACCAGCAACCCTGACTTGGCCACGACAGCTCCCTCCCAAGGGTTGCAAGGGAAGGCAGAGCGCACACCCAGGACACAGATCTCTCAACATCCACTGGACACCTGTTCCCACAGAAGCTTCCAGAACCACATGAATCACTTCCTCACACATCTGCGTTGTAAGATTTTGATCATCAGACTTGGGCATGACTGGTTCTCTTGGTAGCACTTCATGCTTCACACCCACACAGCATTCTGACCAGGAGCCCGCAGACTTCACTGGATTCCGGAAGGGGTCTCAGCAAGAGGAAGGACGCAGAGCCCAGCCCCAGGGAAAGACACGCAGAGACCTCAGGCAGCCAGGATACACTATCTGGGGCAATCACATCATGAGAGTTGGTCTTAAATTTGTGAAGTCTCCCTACCCAGTACCTGAATGAAAGCAATGTCTGTGATTATTGGGTTCACATGACTTGAGTCAGAACTCACAATCAAGATGCCATCCCCATTAATACCAACCAGTAACCACTCACTGACCAACTACCCAAAAGTCACTGACCAGCTGAATGCCACTAACCAGCTAACCATCACTAACTGGCTATTCAACTGTCACCAACCAGCTGACTGGCCAACTACCCAAGCCACTACCCAACTGTCCCCAACTAACCAACTACCCAATAGTCACTAACCATCACCAACTAACCAATTCTTACCATACCAACTAATTACCCAACAGTCACTAACCAATTAACCAACAGTTACTAACCACACCAACTAACCAAATGTCACTAACCAGCTAGGTAAGTGACCAACTAACCAATAACTCACAAAGCAGCACCACCACGACTTTGATTTCCAACAGGAGATTTGCAGGCAAGCCCAGCCCTGCCCTGTCTCCCCTCCCCCCCCATTGGCCTTCTGGTGGCACTCGGGGCTGATTCTTGGCTGTGTTGCACCAGGTGGGGTGAGGCTTGTAGTACAGATGTGAGCTCCAGGGGCCTTAGCAGAACTGCATGCTTGGGCCAGGAGATAAGCCCAACAACATCCTGACAACATCCACAGCCAGTATAGCTGATAGAGCCCACACACAGCTGGCATACTGGGGGGATAAAGAAAACACCCCCTGGAAATACAACTCAAACTGTACAATGGGCCTGGGAGGACAGCCGCACGTATACACCACGCATCAGTCCCCCCAGTGGGACTTCCACACCAACAGGGCCCAGCCATGGGAGCCATGAACTCTGACTGCAGCTTCCTGTAAGTAACTGGATCTCAGATGAACAAACATCATGAAAAGACTCCATTTCTCCAATTGTTAACAAGAGCAGGACAAGCACCCGGGGGCCTGGCTTGGTTGTGAGGCTACCTGGACTAGAGCACTCTGAACAAACCGTCACCAGCCCCCCTTCACCCAGCTCACTCTGAACGAGAACTCAGCTGCTGATCTTTCCCACTGAGTGTGTCAATCTTAAAAAATTCTCCCACTGTGACCTTCAGGTCTACATTTGTTACACTTGAGCAAAAATCAAGTTCATTGCTATTCTCAAGCTATAATGAAAATTAAGGCTATTTCTGTTTCCTTTACACGCCCCGGCACTACACAATTAGAATTAGGAGTTCTATTATCAGATGTTAACATGGCAATGATGTTTAGCAGCCGATGCAGATTCTTCCTGAAGTACACTTCATTTGACTGCTCCAGGACGGGCTATCTCAAGGCAGGATTTGCATTAAAAAATTAGGCAAGTCCTAACCAACTCCTTCTTATTAAAATGGGGTACTCACGTTTCCTTTCACCACATAATTGGAATCATTCTTGATGTCTCTGGCTAGACCGAAATCACAGATCTTGGTGATCCGACCGTGGGTCAGGAGGATGTTCCTGGCTGCCAAGTCTCTGTGGATGCACTGTTAGGATTGGTGGGGAGAGAAAACCAGGGAAAGTCATATCCACTTCTGCTAAGGCTCTTTCGCACACTGGAGCACCGCGGATGGCCTACAGATCCAACACTGCTGCCCAAAAGGAAGCCCCCAAAGTGTCCCAAGAGTTTGGGGAGCTCAAGGCTGGGGCTGGCAGCCTCACTTCCCAGGCCACTCCAGAGCACCACCTCCTCCTCTCGGGCTGCCTTCACTCCTGGCAAGCACACTGCCCACAGCTGCCCTGGCCTGTTCTCGGGGCTGCATGCCCATTGGCTTGCACCACCTTCCAAGAGTTCCTAAAGTGACTGCAACCTTGAGTTAGCCATCTCCTGAGGATGCGAGACAGAAGGTCCTATTTCAGTCACCCTGTCTCCTCCTTCAGTTTGGTAATTGTTGGGAAATGTCACTCGTGATGCCGATGGGAGGCTTCTCTAACGCCTGCTCTCCACTCAGCTCACTGGCTGGGGAAGCTCCCCGCTTCCTCTGCCCTTCTCTTCCCCAAACCATCATTATCCTCCCTGACCCCTTCTTTCCTGCTGCCTGGCAAGCCAAGCTTGGGCTGCAACTTCCCCAGGAGGAAGGGCCAGGGTTGAGCTCACCACTCTCTGGGAGTGAAAGCCCAGGTTCTAAATGGATTCAAGGTACAGGAAAGAATATTCACGGGCAGCTCAGCTTCACGAAGCTCAGGAGATTACAGCAGGAATTCCAGAGTGCAGCTGGAACCAGAAGAGCCTGAACCCCCGGTTTTGGTTGCTGCACTGCATGCCAATGTTGCTTCTGGAACAGTGGGCGGAAGGATTCGGACCACAATCGCTGGCCCACTTACGTTCTTGGAGGCCAGGAAAGCCATGCCCCTGGCCACCTGGTACGAGAAGCTCAGCAAATCCTCCAGGTCCAGGGCCAGCTCGTCGTCGTCCATGACAGCGGGACTCACGTCCCGCTCTATGTAGGAGCCTGTTGGGGAGACAGAAGGCTTTCTTCAGTAATTCAAAACCTACAAGGTAGGAGCAGGCACCACCACACCTTGGTCCAGAGGTGGGGAACATCTGTGACACCCACAGAGGGCTGATTAGCACACTGGTGATCTCACACGGCCCATGAATGACGTTGGCAGATAACACACATGGCCTGGACCCAAAGCAGGGTCCCACCGCTGCTGGTCTGTCCTGAATACCAGAAATAAATGACCTCACGTGCACTCACAGGCCTGTCTCCTGGGTGGTGTGGCAGGCAGGAATTGAGGATCCAGGGCTGGGCCACATGGTCCTCACGGGAGACACACTGCGCGTGAACACCTGCACCTCGTGCGCCATGCTTGACATGTCTGATCACACACAGGCTTACATGGAGACGTTCTAGCACAGATGTGTGCGTGCACACGCGCTCTGACCTCAAACACCCAGTCGTGACACCACCCGCCTCTCACCGCCAGCCCTGCCTAGGTGACTCAATCGCCAAGAATCGCTCAGTAACAAGGAATGCTGTGAGCCACGACCACAGTGAGGTCTGAGGTGTAATGACACCACTTTCATTTTTCAAAAGCCGTTGACTTATTGGAGAGGGAAAGAGAAATATGGGGGTGGAGGGTAGTGCCCAAAGGCTGGTTTACCCTTCAAATACCCTCAAAGGCTGAGCGGGGCTGAGGCGAAGCTAAGCACACACCAGGCCCCCAGTCCACACGGTCCATGCGGAAGGCAGGAGCCAGTGGCCTGAGCCATGACTGCCTGCTCCCAGGGTGTGTGAGGCGGCGGCTAGCGTGGGGCGCCCTCTCCGGCCATTGGCTGGTCCCTCCTCCTCCACACAGAGCAGCCCTCTCCAACCCCCGAGGTACCCACCAATTCTAGTGCTTCTCCTTTTGTCTGCTGTGGTGGGGATGACGTAGGAGACGCCGGGTTTCATGTCCATGTACTCGTTGGTGCTGTCACTGCTGGGAGAAGACACCCGTAGGGTCACAACTTGGGGGTTGGTGTATGGAGGTTGGGGTCAAGTGGGGGCCACACCCAGCTCCTATCAGCTCTGCTATGGAACAAATGGACTTCACTTAAAGCAAGCAACACAGGATTTGAACCAAGAACTGGAGGACCTAATTCTGGAAGATTCGAGCTCTGGATACGCAACAGCAGGGTCCAAGTTCCAGGGATGTGTTGACCCTTCCATGTCCTGTCTCCTGACATGGTGGATTGTAACAGGAAACAGAGAGAAAAAAGACGTCAAACTCTAAACAAACCACACCAAACGAAGAGCTTCCGGCCCTGTGGCGGGGGAAAGGCAGGGCTCCTTGACGTGCGGGAACTGACGGGAGAAGGTTTTAAAAACCCGTGTGCAGTTCAGATAAACACCAATCATTTGGATGATATGCTGAGCCATCTGGACCTCTTGAATCTGCACCATTTGGCTGGAGGCTCTTCAAGATTTCTAGTACTTCCTGCTTCTGATTAGCATAGAAACACCATGACAACGATCTCCCTCGGAACGTGTTGCGCTTCCAACCCCCAGATGGGATCCCAAGGCGCAGTGTCGCCCCGGATGGAACAATCGAGGCCATTATTTCAAAGAGTTTAAAAAAGAAAAATAGGAGGAGGGCATGTGGCAAAGTGCAGCAGGATACACACCCCAGCAGTGTGTCCCCTGTGGTGTAAAAATAATGTCCAAAACCCTCGCGTGCTCAGGACACAACTTCCCACGCTCTTTGAGAAGATCCCACCTGTGCGTGGACTTCGTTTCCACAGCCAAGTGGACACTGCCTTGCATTCCCTTTCCAGGCCTTCTCCTTCTCGGAAGCACCCCCATCGGCACAGGGCCAGGGTTTCAGAAAGAAGGCCAAGTGTGGTTCATTCTGCCAATCGAAGACTTGTGCTGGGTCAGCAACTGGCACGTTTACAAGGTTAAAATAAACCAATAAAAAAGGACCCTTTGGTTGAGGCTTCAAATGCCAACCAGAACTACCGAAAACAGCTTGAAGAGGAAAAGGGCCAACAGTGGTGCCAATGGCGTGTGCATGGGGACCTGATGCTCAGAGCTCACACGGACCACGTGAGAACCCCCACGGCCGGCGTCTCCTGGAAGCAGGCATGCACAGGCGTCCGACGTGCACCGGCATCCGACATGCACGGGTGTCCAGGCCCGTTCTGCCGTCAGTTCAGCACTCTTCACCCATCATCCAAACATGGATGTCACTGGCAAGGAAGACATGGCGGGCAGGTGCAGTCTTTGACAATGTGCTTGGTGACTGATGCCTTTTCACTACCTGGTGAGCTCAAGGAGGGGCCGGAGTGCATGCGGAGGAGTCGGGGAGAGGTGAGATCCCCACCGATCTGGCCCCCCCCTGTGAGCAGCATCCCCAGAGAGAGGTGGTTAACACACAGGTGCACGGCACAGCCGAACCATACTTGGAGAAATGCCGCTAGAAGCCACACAGGCCCAGAGATGGATTAAAACCAAAAGCATCAGGCCACACCTCAAGTTAACACGCCTTGCATCTCTCAAACACTGAGTGCTCTGAGATGCTCATCAACATTTGAATAACTTCATCATCTTGATTTCGCTCCTCAGTTCATTTTCTAAAGAATCGGCCTTGATGATGGGTCTCCCTGACCCCATGAACTGCTGCCTGTTTATGGAAATCAGCCTTACCAGGAGGACTCCTTCGAATTCAGGAGGTTCTTATACAGGGCAGCTTCCGCAGGATCTTCCTGCTTCGAGCAGATAAACGAATCACGCTTTCTCCGCAAAAAATTCAGAAGATCACCATAGCAACAGTATTCCGTAATGACCAGGGTGGGCCCTGCAAACATGGGAGAGAAGGCAGGGTGAGCTATGCCACAGCTCACCCAAAGGGGTGTCTACAGCAGCCAGCATCAGCCTCCAGGTCTGGCGAAGGCCTCGGTGAGGCTAGCACTTGGGGGCTTCTGCTGGTCTCAGGCTCCCCCTCGCCCTCCGGAATCCACCAAGCAAGAGAGCTCGCATCCTCTGAAGAAGGCTGCACTGCAGGAGACAGAAGCAGCAGGACAGGGCAGCTGGGAGTGGCCCACCTGCCTTGAGCTGGGTTCCCAACACCTCTGCTGGGGGAGAAAATCCTTCCCAGGCAGCTAACCCATGTGGTGGCAGCTTTCCTGATGGGGCGAGACAACGTCTACAGGGCTCGTTCAGAGCCTGGCCCAGAGCCTCACCCCACCGCTGTCCCTGGATGTTCAGTGTGGATTTGGCTGCACCTGCAGGAGCAGCACCCTCTCCCGAGCACTCCTCTCTTCCTGCAGACCCGCCTGCTGTAGACTTTCTGGATGGGCCCTCCCACTGAGGCTGCCAGCTATCTGCACAAGCAAAGCATTTGCCCCCATCCAAGCCGATCTGAGAACTAGGAGCTTAGGGGCCCATTTAAAATGATGGGATGCACTCCAGTGACCAGACACGAACCCACAACACATGAAGCCTGCAAGGTAAGACAGAGCCTTCCCGCTGGCCGAGACATCACTAAAGGGACTGGTCTCATGGCGCAAGGGTTAAGCCAACCTCCTTCCATCCAGCACCCTGCTAAGGTGCCTGGGAGGTGGCAGTGGAGAGCCCGAGGCCTGGTTCTCTGGCACGCATGGCAGACCCAGAGGAGATTCCTGGCTCTTGGTTTGGCCTGGACTGGCCCTGGTTGTGGCAGGCATTTGCAGAGTGGCCCAGCAGGTAGGGGTTGTGTGCCTATCTCTCTCTCTTGCTCCTTCTCTGGCATTCTCCCTTTCAAATAAATTTTTAAATGTCTTAAAGACACCACTACTACTGATGTCACACACAAGGATGCTTGCAGAAGAATGCGATAGCTTCTCTTTGATACAGAACACTTAAAATTTATGCATCCTTTCTCAATATGCAATTGCCACAAAATTTTTACAGACTCCCTGAATGTATGAATTTCAAAACCTTTTTTTCAGCCCGGTGTCCTGGCTTGGCAGATAAAGCCACGGGCTCTGATGTTGGCATCCCAGATGGGCACCGGGCTCAGTCCTGGCTGCTCCACTTGCAGCCCAGCTTCCTGTTATTGCAACTGGAGGAAAGCACGGAGAGGCCCTAGTGCTTAAGCCCCTGCTACCCACAGGGAGACCCGGACGATGCTCCTGGCTCCTGCCTGGCTCAGCTCAGGCCTTTGTGGCCCCTGGGAAACGAATAAGCAAGATGGGAAGATGTCTGTCTCTCCTTCTCTCTCTACAACTCCTTCAAATAAATAAGTTTCCACTCAAATCATCTCATCTTTTAACTCCCTTTCCCACTAGCTTTCTGAAGTGTGTGCATGCCTGATGGGGCTCCTTCCGGCGACGTGGCTCCTACAATCACCGACATGCCTGCTCTCAGGGACAGCTAGTACAACACCATGCAGCCAGTGGGACCAAGACCCTGCTTAAAATTCCCTGAGCGCTAACTCATAACCCAGCCTGGGCAAAGTGCCTCTCTGCCCCTCGGACATCCTGGCCAGGGCGGACATGGCCTTACCTCCCACGGTGCAGGCGCCCAGCAGGTTCACGATGTTCACGTGGTTGCCCAGGTAACTCAGGACCTTGAGCTCGGACATGAGGGCTTCCCGCTCGGTCAGATGGGCGCTCGCTGGAACAGGAAAGCAGCTGCTAGTGGCAAAGACTGCCCCGGGCAAACCATCCCCTCTCCCAGACAGCAGCACGCACTCACGTTTAAGCATCTTCACGGCGACAGTCATGGCGGCGTCCGACTTAATCAGGCCATAGGCAGTGGCCTCTACCACCTTCCCGAAGGCGCCCGCCCCCAGGGTCTTCCCTGCAGAAGCAATGGCACAGAGTCAGCAGTGGAGATGCGCAGGACTCATGGCCTCTTGCCACAACCTCAAGGCCAAGACGGCTGTCACGGACATGCACCTGTCTTCTCGAACCAACCAAGCTGGGCACGCTCTCACAGGAAACGCTGGTGAGTGCAGGTGGGCAGAGACCACGGAAGCCACCCTAGTTCCCTAAAGTTGCTGTGAGGTGCACCCAGAAAGGTGGCCCGGAAAGTCCCCCGGGGTCCCACTGACCGAAGCTCAGCCTGCTCCTGGGGAACTCCCATTTGTGGTCGTAGGGGAGCTGCGTGGGGTCAATGTACACGTAGTTGTTGCCATTGATCTCCTCCACCACCTTCCACTGCACCTCGTACTTGGGCTTCTATGGAGAGATGGGAAGACATGGTGAGCATGCTGACGGGTCGGCCAGCCCCGGGGCAGGGTCTGGCTTGGCGGGCCCAGGCAGCACCCCTCCAGCAGGGCCCAGGCAGCCGGCCCGGGCAGCACCCCTCCAGCAGGGCCCAGGCAGCCGGCCCGGGCAGCACCCCTCCAGCAGGGCCCAGGCAGCACCCCTCCAGCAGGGCCCAGGCAAGCACCCCTCCAGCAGGGCCCAGGCAGCCGGCCCGGGCAGCACCCCTCCAGCAGGGCCCAGGCAGCACCCCTCCAGCAGGGCCCAGGTGGCCACTCACCTGCAGGTACTTATAGGCAAGGACCATGACGATGATGCACATGACGACGGCCGTGACCACGAAGCCCACCAGCAGGGGCGTGAACAGGGTGTGCTCCTGGATCTGCTCTAAGGGGGTGAGAGAAATGGAAAAGTAGCACGCTCCCACAGGAGGGGTCCCGGCCACCCCCAGACGGACCTGCCCTGTGGGACCATCAATGGTAGGGCAGGCCCTGGCCTTGGCAATGGCCTACCCCTGTTCCTCCAAGGACTCTGTCCAGCCGCGGCACCCTAAGTTGCCGTGCCCAAGGAGGGGCTAGCCTGCAGCCCTGGCATGAGCCCTGGCATGAGCCCAGGCTGGTGCAGCCAACGGCAGCAAGGCAGCCTCCTCTGGGGACAGCTTAGTCTCCTTCCTTGCTTCCCCGTGCGACCCCGCCTGCCTGCTTGGCCTGTCTGGGAAACCCATGCTTTGGGACCACTTAAGCATCTTTCTTCCTGTTACTCACTCTGAAAAAAACTTAACTTCCTGGCACTTGACTCTGCCAACTGACAAAACCAAACCTTGAGCCCTGTCTGGGCACACAACTTCCCCATCTTCCAACTCTGCACCCAATTCCTCATTGGTCCACACTCCCGTTCTTAGAAGAGCACGGGACTCTGGGGAGTTGGACGGTGGTGTGCGTGGCTAATCCTCGACCTCCAGCGCTGGCATTCCATGTGAGACCAGTTCGAGCTTTGGCCGCTCTATTTCTGATCTAGCCCCACGCTATGGCCTGAGAAAGCAGTGGAGGATGGCCCAAGTACTTTGGGTCCCTGCACCACATGGGAGACCCTGAAGAAACACCTGGCTCCTGGCTTCAGGGCAGCCCTGTTCTGGCCATTGCAGTCTCTTGGGAAGTCAACCAGCAGACGGGAGACCTCGCTCTCTAACTCAAAAAGAAACCACTTCCTACCAGCCTCACCACAGTCAGTCCACCAACGTGCTCCTGCGACTCCCTTTAACCAATAACTGAACCGACGCTTTAATTGGGCGACTTATGCTTGGGTACGAGGTAAGCTGTGGGCTTTCTGTGCCCTTCTGATGGGGCCAATGGCAAAAATACACAACCTCCACACGAACAGGTTCACACAAGCACACACACACACATCTGCTTACACAACGCGTGGTAACGTTAGTCAAGCACACACACCAGCTCCATTAGCGGGTTAGCACAGCTGGCTGGCAATACGGATGAGCATGGGTGTTACCACACATCACATGGCCAGGGTGGGAGTGGGCGGAATGGGCTCACGAAACCATCCCCCTTAGATTGGATTAAAAAGAAATATACCTTTGTTGTTACCTTTAAGCGCAAAGTTAAAATAAGCCGAGCTCTCGCCCACGTCGTTGTAAGCCCTACACTCGACTGTGCCGTTGTGCTTGAAGGCACTCGAATCCACAGAGCTCTGGACCACCGACTTCCCCAGGGGCGGCGGCCCCGTCGTGTTCTGGACCTGTACATCTACCGGCCCCATGGGCGCAGAGCACCTGCGGGCCAAGCAGAGCCACCGGTCAGCGCTCAGTGAGATGCCTGCAGGAGGTAACGGGCAGGGCAGGGCAGGGTGCCCCACAGCAGGGACACTCTAACAGGTGGGTAGGTGATGGTAGAGGGCCAGAGAGAAGGGGGAGAGAGGAATGCGGGCCTCCCACACTGAGTGTGTGTCCGTGGTTGCCCCGCCCTGTGCATGCTCCAAGGCTCGGGTCCCACAGCCGGACAGCCAGGCATAACCCCATCTTGGAATCAAGGAGTAAATCACTGGGGGCCAGGAGTGAACGGCCTCAAACAGCTACCAACCATCCCAGCTCACACAACATCAAATGCACAAGATGCGAGAGGGGGTGAGAAGGCAACTAGAGGAAGGAGTCGTGAAGAGTCGATCGGAGCAGACACAGAAAGCCTCAACACTACAGGCCTGCGGTTCAAAGCAAGGGGGTGCCTGCCTGGAACCTCAAGAATGAGCTCACAGTGCCTGGGAGGACTGGTTCATCTCCTGCCCCTGCACTTGCTAGCTGTTTATCTCCTCCTTCGTCCATCTCCATCTGCCAGAAGGCAAGCCCGTAACGCAGAGACTGGGGTGCCAAGGTATGCAACTGAGCCGCCAGACACCCTGTTCCCACTCCCCCCAAAGTCTGTTCCACCACAATGCAGAGGGACATAAGCATCCCCAGCTGTGTCTTCAGGAGGCACCTGCACTCGGCAAGCCTGAGCACACATGAAGACCGCAGCCGCGCCAAGCTGAGCTGTGCGGTGCGGGTTCTCAACTGACACAGGGTCTCCGGCACACAGTGCCAGCTGCTCCCTACTTAGGGGCCGGCACCTCATTAGGGAGACCCCTTGGCACAGCCCCCGCAGTCCACAGACGCCATACATATGGCATAATTATGTGCTCTGGAGTTTGTGCTACCTCGGCAATTAACTCATGAGGTAATTCTGTCCACGACAGCGACAGGCGCTTCTCCCACACACATTACCTCCTGTGTATAGAGTGGAAATCTAATTACTCCATCCTGGAAAATTGCTTTATCTACCTGCGGGCTAGAAATTGCATGATAAATCCAAAAAGATAACCACCCCAAAACAGACCAAAGTCGTTCAGTAATCATTTTGCAGCAAACAAAATTAATGTCTACCGAGGAAAACATGGCCATTATCCCCTCTCTGAAGAGGCACATGGAGAGAGGGGGGAATCATCAAAACAAACCCTTTTTTTTTAAAAAATCTGAAAATGCGTCTGAATTTCCACTGAATGGCGGTCCTTCCCACCCGCGTTGAAGTGACGCCAGAAATGAGCATCTCACCTCTGCTCGGCGCCCAGGCAGAAGTACCACTCGATGGTGGGCTCTGGGAAGCCCGCCGCCACGCACCGCAGCACGCCGTTCACCAGCCTGCTGGAAGTCAGGATTTTGGGTTTTGCTGCGGAAACAGAGAAGGCGACATTTGTCAGGCCGCTGCTGGAGACCTCAGCCAGTTTCTCTGCGCTCCTAGCCTTGGAGCCTTCTGGAGGCTGCAGAAGTGCCCCCACTGGATGCTGGCTGCTGCAAGGGGAGAACCCGGAATGCTGGGTGTGCAAGATGCCAAGAGGCAGGCTGCAGGGCCAGCTGCCGGGGTAAGTGCAGGCCCCACTCACTCCTACAGCAACCCCAGATAAGGAGTGTGAGAACTGAACCCTGGTGGTGATGGGGGGCTGAGGCAGAGGCTGCAGAGCCCCACCCTGCAGGTCTGCTTCTGGGGAGGGGGGACTCAAAGGCCACTTCTCGGCAAGATTCCTGACCCCACCACACCCACCATGAGGCACAGTGGGCCCTGCAATAGATAAGTGCGGAGGAAGAGCTTCTCTCTTTGTAAATGCCAGTGGCTCTGGCATTTACAGGACAGTTAAAATGCAAAACTCCAGGCACCCTGTTAACTCCCAATCTGTATTTCAAACGCAAAACAGGGCCCGGGACCTGAGCCCCAGACTCTCTCCTGGCACACATCTGTCACCACCGTCATCCACGAATGTTCAGGGATCTCCAAGTCTGTGCATCTCCAGGCAATGCGCTGGAAGCTTCCAGTTGCCCGGGCTTTGCTGGAGGGGCGGGGGACTGGACCAAACCACAGAGCTGCTGCAGGCCATGCATGTGTTACGTGGGGGTGAGGGGGCAGAGCTGAGGGGGCAGAGCTGAGGGCCAGCCCCCAGGTCTGCCTGCCCCCTGCCCTTGGCTGCGTTTCTGGATCTCTCTGCTGAAGTCTGCTTGTTCAGGTACGCAAGATGGATGAAACAGCAGCTATCTCATGAGACAGACTAGTCACAGTGACAAGCGACCTCACCGTTGTCACCGATCCCTGGCACACCTCTGACTCAAGCCTGCCATGCACACAGTGCCTGTACTTGTCACTCTAAGCTCTCAAGGACCATCCATATACCAACTACAATTTGAGAGGCACAGTGTCACCCATCAACTGTGCTTCCTGTGACCAGGCAGGGTCAGAGCCAGGAACCTGGACCCCATCCAGATCTCCCCCAGGCCGGCAGGGAGCCCACCTGTTACCTCCTAGGAGCATCTCAGCAGGAAGCCGGGAGCTCAAAGCTGGGTTGAGGGAGTCTCCTATTAAAGCTTGGCCAGCCCCTCATCCAAAAACTGCTTCTGGAAGGCGGTGAGGTGATGCAGCTGTGTCTCACCCTGCTGCCCCGGGAAGCCCATGTCCATCATGTGCAGGGAGAAGTCAGAAGGGGGGCTGGCTGGGGTCAGAGCTTCCAAGTGCATGAAGGCACCTGCCACGCAGCCTGGCCCTGTGGACGGGCAGGTGCTAGGCTCGCTTGCGTGCACACACACACGTGCCCAGGCCGACCACTCTCCAAAGCAATGTCAAGGTAGCGGCAGCGTTGAGAATCCAGACCCAGTGCCAGCCTCACAGACAGAGCAAGGAGACAAGCCATCTCTCGTGAAGGAATCCATCTGGCAGGCTTCACTTAATTATCCCTGGGCAACCGTGCGAGCGAGCAGGCGGGAAGTGGGACACAGCGTGAGAAGACGGCGGACCTTCACAGGATGCTGCGTGCCCTGTGCTGCGTCCTCAGGCCCCCCACTGAAGGGTCACCTCCTTTTCTAAGCCAGCCCAGCTTCCGAAGCCCCAGCGGGGAGGGGGTTCTCTGCACTTCCCACAGCACTCATGATCTCTGTCACCGTGGGGCCAGATCGCAGCAAGGCCTCCTCCATCAGACTGGCCCTTCCTCACATGGCACTGGCTTCTCCCTCTGTGACGGAAGGCCCGGGTGGACCCAGGCACACAGTCACATTCGGGATGCATGCAGGGACCTGGGAGAGCATCCTAAAGGGACTTTGTGGGGTAGGGCATTACTGCCACCCATTCTCACAACAGAAGGCCACAGGTAAGGACCTCCACGTAGGCCAGGCCAGGAGATCCTTTTTCTAGGATTTTTGTTATGTGAACAGTACAGTTTGAGAGATTTTCCATTTGCTAGATCACCCCTCAGATGGTCACTGCGGCCAGGTGGAAGCCAGGAGCCTCATCCAGCTCTTCCAGGCAAGTGGCCGAGGACCAGGCACTTGGGCCATCTTCTGCTGCTTTTCCCAGGCTAATTAGCAAGGAGTGGGATCACGACTGGAACAGCTGGGACAGGAACCGGCGCGCGGGAGATGCTGCGGCAGTGGCTTTACCTGCTACGCCACGGTGCCAGTGCCCGAGTTTCTCTGAATGCTCAGGCTGCCAGAGGGGGAGTGTAGACAGAGACGACAGAGTGGGAATCCGATGGGAAGCAGACGGGCACCGTCACTCGCGCTTCCTAACACCCGTGATGCCACACGACACTCAGTCCAACCAAGCAGTAACCCGACAGAAAGATGGAACAGCTGCTGAGGCCGGCCAGCACGGCCATGTGGAGTTCCGTTTTATTCTTCCAACTTATTTTTCCAATTTTACATTATAATGAACACGGAGCCCAAATCAAGCCCACAAAGCATTTTTTAATTAAAAAATTGGAACAGCTCAGAGTTACATAATCGGGCACGTTTAGCTTCGGTCACAGGTGCTGTGAGAGCCAACCCTTCCAGCAAGACACCTGGTAGCACTTCCACAGCCACCTGGCCGCTTGCTCTGTGCGCCGGTTACCCAGGTGGGTCAGAACCTGAGGCATGCTGGGCAGCTTTGGTCCTGCTTGGGCTTCCTGGCGATGTGAGAACCACACAGGAAAGAGGCCCCAGCCCTGGGTCCCCACCGCAGAGCTGCCGTGAGCACAGGAGCTGACCCGACCTCTCCAAGCCGGGGCTAGAATGCAGCACTGGGGGGCGGGGGTGCCACTGCAGAACGCCTGGAAAGCTGGCACCTGCAAGCACCGCCCCCAATTCTGGACCCTCCCCCTGTTGCCTGTTCCTCCCAGCACAGCCCTGCCAGCACTGCCTTGTAGGGCTGGGAGACCCTTCCTGGAAGGCACAGTGATACCAGCAGTGCCCAGCGAGACACACTAGGAAAATGTTTAATGCATAAAGAATGAGTTTGGGGGGGGAAATCCGACTCCTCAAAATGAAAATCTGGCGCCCTTGCAGCATGTCAGCACACCGTGTGTGGAACTGAACAGACATCATGCGTTTAAAGATACAGGACTGCGCGTGGCTGCCGACTGACGCAGGGCCACGGACTGCCAAGGCCACGGACTGCCAGGCCCTCCGAGGCAAGCAGTGTGGGAGGGACATCTCCTGCCCTCCTTGTGAGCGGCAGCTGACGATCAGCCCCACAGGTGTGGATGTTGGACGTGACCTTTGGCAGTGTCAGGGTGCGGGGGACTTCACAATGTCCTGGTACCTCCAGGCTTCCTGGTGCCAGGCACCCAGCCCAACACAGCATGACTTCAGGGCACACACTGGGGACACTGCCTCCCACCACCCCAGGTCCACATGCAAGGCAAGAACAAAATGAATGCGAGAGAACAAGGGCTGGCAGAGTTGTTCGGGGAGGGTCATCCTGGGAACAGCCCCTCCTTTGCACACACTCTGTAGGGTGGGCCAGAGGACACAGCCCAGATCTGCACTGAACAGAGAGGATCCTGGAGGAGGAGCTTTGGGGTTGCTGGTCCTGGCTGGGCCCCCCAGTAATGTGTCCCTGCTCTGGTTTCAAGCTGCATGAGCCTAACACTCCCGTTTAATAAAGGAATTAAAATCAGCTGAGATGGCAACATGAAAATAACTCATGTCGGCCTCTCCTTATTAAAGGGAAGGCTGCACTGAGACAAATCCCCTGCACACTTGGCGTATGAACAACGGGCACCGGCTGCCTCCCACCACACTGCTGACATTCCAGTTTCATATTCCCATGTGTTCCAAAATCCCTTCATTTTTTAATCAACTATTTTTTTTTAGTGTCTTAGCTTGTGAGTCATGGAACACCAGGCTGAGGTCTGAATTTTGGTCCACGAGCTGGCATGGACTGTCATCCATCAGGTTCGCCATGGGACAGACATCAGCTTCCTACATTAACTGCCTGGGTTCAAGTCCAGGTTCTGCTCCTGATTCCAGTTTCTGGCTAGTGCACCCCCCAGGGAGGCAGCAGGGATGGCCCAGAGTTAGGTCCCTGCACCCACATAGGAGACGCAGAATTCAGTCCCTGGCTTGGAGCTTCAGTGTCGATGTGGGCATGTGGGGAGTGAGTTGGCAGAGGGCAGGACCCTCCATCCATCTCAAGGAAAAGACAAATGAGAGAGATGAAGCCGAGAAGCCATGGTTATGCCTGCAGACAGCCCACCTCCACCAGGTGGGTGGGGTGAGGACCAACACAGGCCTGTGGCCCCGTGAAAGCAGCCGACGGATTCTGCCACATGATTCAGAAGTAGAGAACGGCACTGACCCAAGGCCCACGGGGAAAATACACCTAATCCTGGCTTAACTGAAATTCCCTCAGAATTGCAGGCTGCGCTGCAGAGTGGTATAAGCCAGGGGACGGATGGACACACACACACACACACTGGCCAGACCAGCCAGATGGATGGACACACACACACACGCGTACACGCGCGTCAGACCGGCCAGACCAGCCAGTCCACCAAGACGGACAGCCAAGGGCTCCCGATCTACACGGTGTGGGCATGCCCTCAGTCTGGCCTCACGACCGACCCTGGTGTCAGATGTGCAAGCCGAGCTGTGAGAGCAGCTGCCAAGAGCCACCTGTGCTGCAGGTTTCCAGCAGGGAGGGGAGCGCCAGGCTCCACCCCACAGGTGGGGTGCAGGATGTCTGCCCTTCCCCAGCCTCCTGTCTCCCAAGAGAGTCTTATCAACAGAGTCAGCACAGTAAGAGCCCGTACTCACTCTAAGTTTAGGAAGAGAAAGTAAAAACAGTACAAACCCAGTGAGACACCTCGCAGGGAAGGTAACACGGGCAGGGATGACACCTCTGCGTGGACAGGTGTCTTCAGGCCACCC